GGAAAATTCTAATTCAACTTGGGAGCAACAGTGAAACTCCAATACTGTAGAAGTTTCATAAAAAATTAAACTTTTTCAAAGGTAATCTAAAGAATCAAAACTCTTACAGAGAAAAGAACAGTTTGCCACCAAACATCATGCATCACATCTAGTTTTTAGCGAAAATAAACAACACAGGCTACCGAGTCCGTGAATATTCTAACTAAACACTAGGAACACTTAGGGCTTTTTTAAACTCACTTCATTCTGCCTGTAATCTTCTCCTTCTAATAGCCTTATCTATGAAATCTGGCTGATAATGGAAAAAAATGTCAACACGCACTGGATTATGCCTTTGCTTGTGGTTTTACACTGTATTGTACCATGACTGTCTAAGATCTAATGCTTATTTTATTGACTCAGTAATACTACAAATCTTTTCTGCAAATTCAACATATGAGAAAGAAACATATGAGAAAGAAACATATGTATCAATCCTTCAGTTGGCCTTTTTCCCCCTTTAGAATTTATAACTACCTGCCTCCAGTCTAGTATTACCATTTACTTATTTACCTCTAGGACCAAAAAATCACCAGAAACAGGCTGGAAGGGGGCCAGATCCAGTCCAGTACATTTGCAGTCATCTGAACAATTGCCTGTTAAAATTCATGGCTTTCCCCAACAAGCAAGAAATGGGCAATCCATCACCTTAGACTGAAATTCTACATTACAATGACTTCTAAAATTTTGTCAGTCATACACAAGAAGCAGTACTAAGAGCAACACCACAATAGTTCATGTGCAAGGGAAGAGACAGGCAAAGAATGTGAGCATCCATAAAATCCCATAGTTCTCAGACCAGACAACAGTTTCACAGCTGCACATGTAAACACACAGCCAGTCTGAACATACCTTAGTTATATGTACAGCAAATTAGTACACAGAACTAATTCGTGACATTTTTCAGTAGATTTTTGCTAGCATACATGACCAATGACAAGAGAGAAGGCATGTGAAGAAACAATAGATGATAAACAAGCATTCAAAGCTGGGACAGTAAGCAAAATTGAAAAACCCATTAGGCATCGTATCTGCATAATTTGCCAGATAAGGCAAAATACCATTACCAGACTGAGATCCAGAGTAACATGTGGTCTGCCCAGGACTGTAGAGATAGCTGTAGAAGCCATGCCTTTACCCAAAACACCACCAGATAAAAAGATTATTTTCAGTACTACTGAAATCAATAACAGTTGAGTAACTGAACGCCTACCAGAGGGAGCGAGTAAGACATCAAACAACCAGTCTCAAACACATTGTCCTGCCTCCTTGACACTGAGTGAGCTCCAGGTCATCTGGAGAAGATCTCTCGGGTCTTTTGGGTCTTTGGAGTGACCTTACCCCAGGCATACGACATGCCTTCCTTCCAGGCACTTAACACACTGGTGGAAACTGCCACCAGAGCTTAGAGAAGTAATAATAATAACCAAGTCTTTACTTATTTAGTTCTCGTTATTGATTCCCTAATGCTATTTATCATGTGGAAACAAAAGAGGACTGACTAGGTGGAGATGTTGTCCATGCTATACAGACAACCAACAAATGCTATGAAAATGGCAAAACTAAACACCATCATTTCTTACACAGAAGGTTCTGTTGGGGTAGATGTAACCTGAAAACCTTTGACATAGTAATTACGTGTGAATTTAAAACTTGGAAGAATCTGGAAATTTTTATCATATCTAAATACATTTCAAAAGCAGTTGAAAAAAATAATTATTGATTGATGCTTCTAATATTGCAGCTGGCAAGGATCTTCTAGATAGTGGGCATACCTGAATTTAAACCTCAAGAAAATAAATCACAAAATTGATGGCATCTAAATTGCAATCAGTGTCAGCATATTATTGAACACTTTCACCATACAGACAATAAGTAAAATACCACAGAAATTTGCTGACTTTCTCATCAATTAGTACAAACTAAAGCCTTATGATCAAGAAACCACAGTGGTTTCTGCCTACTTCTCAGCAAGAGATGTATTCACAACACACAGTAGCAAGACATCCTCTTACCAAAACATTTATTGTAATATATATGCATCTATATAAACTATATATGTACATGTTATACATATTTTATATATATATTTATATATAAACTATAATACTATGAAGTAATTCATAACACCTGAAGACATAACATGTGCATGTTGGCTTATTTTCTAACTTAAAAAAACAAACAACAGATTCAACAAGAAGATAGGATGAAACCATTTACTTAGCAGAGAAAAATTAGAAAACATTTTACTAACAAAATGCAGAGGCCTGCATGCCAAAAATTTCCCTTAACATTTAGAGGTAGCTAAAAAGGTCACATAGCTCACAGGAAAAAAAGTTCACATATGCAAAAATCTGATTTCCTCTTCTATTTCAGTTCTTCATATTAGCTTCTCAGAAAGTTCTGGAAATTAAATCTTGAGTGGTTTTGTTTTGAAACTAAGTCTTGTCCTTTAAAATACAGAAAAATATCTGCAAAGATACTGGAAGTAAGAGCCATGCATTGGATCTTTCAGATACCTTCCAGAACACATTTCATCAAAATAGTCATTCCTCTTTATCTGGGATTTTCTGCTTTGTGTCTAGGAAAAGCCTGTGTTGTCATCTTTATTAAAAACCTGTATTGGTTCATTTTGAAAAAGGTAAACTAAGGGGAAAGAGCATCTACAAGGTAAGGAAAAATAACGTATGGAAAGTTTGGTGATATTTGGACACCAAAAGCTAACATAAATGATTTGTAGGCATGTGCTGACATCCACACAGATCTTCAAAATAATGCATGTTTTCCATATGCAAATTTTACATACTGCAAATTCGAATCTAAATGTTGTATGTACTCACCTTTCCTCCTCATTTTCCTTCTCTAGTTGGAAGTACCACCTTCCCTTGTCATGACAAGTTTTTCAGTCAAGATATGCCTACAGGATGCATGCATGGGTGCACACATATGCACCTACACAGCATCCAGAGGTCAGAGACAAGCTTGTTTTGACTGCAGATGGTTAAGAAATCAGGAGGAAGAACTAATGTCTCATAGGTTTAATTCTGGGTATTTAACATCAAAAGTTTTCAAAGGAAAATCCCAACTCCCTGGTAGCTTATAGATGTGCCAGCCAAGAATGTTATGAAAGACTGTGCTGGAGTTCCTGGTTTGCAGTTACTGATTTCAGTTCAACAGCAGACCGACTTCTCTATACCCAGCACATTGAATCTACCTTCTAATCTATGCACCTGGAGCTCAGCTAGGTACCATCTCCCATTTCAGGTAAATAAGATCCTAGAGTACACAAGACTTATTCTGCAGCTCACAAGACCCCCTAAACAGGTCGTTTTGGTGGGGTTTTTTTGATTGCACCAGACACTAGCACTATTTTCGTCATGAATACACCACCACACCTGGTCCCACAAGGAAGCTGGACACCAAGATTTCTAGAAAGATGTGTGACCACAAAATGCGTTGTTGTCATTAAATGGTGCACTTGTTGGGCCTGCAGTAGGTCCCTTCCATGTCTGTTCTTTGCTGGTAGCTGCTATCAGAGGACAATACACCCTCCATACAGGCAGTGGAGAAAAGAACACTCAATAGGCAAAAGTGGAAGGAGAAAAGGTATAATTTATCCTGCTGCTCATCTTCACTTACAGCTTTTCCAATCCAAATCAGTGCTCCATGAGGATGCCCTTGCTTCCCGTCCTTCTTGCCTTCCTGCTGCTGGGCACCCCAGCTCCCCACTCCACAAAGGGATTTCCAGAGTCCATCAGATGTGACATCACATTAGAAACACCTCATCTCTGTCCCCCATACAGACAGGAGGAGAAATCTCTCCAACTAGTGGGTGAAACCTTTCCCCCACTGTCCCAGGACCATATACAGTCAACAACTTTGTACACAAAAAAAAGGGGATGGCGTTATTGGTTACGTCATTTTTTTGCTATCTCTAGATCCTTACATGATAACTGAAAAAGTATGCTGCAATATGCTACAGACTTAAGCTTGATGTAATTCTTTTGTATAGTCTTTACAAGTGAACTCAGCAGAACTTTATTTGTGTGAAGACCAGAGCTATTGCTAATCAGTCTCAACTAGCAGGCAGTTCTGAAAGTTCTTCCTATGGTCCTAGTACTACAGGTCTTATTTCTGAAGGAAAATAAAGACTTCATTAACCACAAATATCTGAAAAAAATTCAAGGAAGTAAAATTTCACATCTACTGAGTAAAGAAGCTTAAGTAAGTTCAACAAAGGCACATGAAGTCTATATAATTCTTGTGTGTTATCTACAATCAATATTCTGCTTCCCTGCACTAGAATAAAGTACATCCTTAAAGAATCAAGATAAAAAACCAACAAATTTACGTGAAGTAGTGAAAAGTTTGAAGGGGAAACCGTATGAGGAGCAGCTGAGGTCACCCGATCTGTTCAGCCTGGAGAAGAGGAGACTGACAGGAGACCTCATTGTGGTCTTCAAAATCCTCACAAGGAGAAGTGGAGGAGCAAGAACTGATCTCTTCACTCTTGTGACCAGCGGCAAGATTAGAGGAAACTGCATGAAGCTGAGTCAGGGGAGGTTTAGGTTAGACATCAGGAAAAGATTTTTCACCCAGAGGGTGGCTGGGTACTGGAACAGGCTCCCTAGGGAAGAGTCACAGCGCCAAGCCTGTCTGAGTTTAAGAAGTGTTGAGACAATGCCCCCAGGCAGATGGTGTGATTCTTGGGGTGTCCTGTTCAGGGTCAGGATTTGGACTCAATGATCCTCGTGGGTCCCTTCCAACTCAGCATATTCTATGATTCCATGAAGTTACCAAAATTATTCCAAGTGGAGTAAAAGACCACTGAGTGGTTAATATCTCCACTGAAAACTCTTTCTTTAGAGCACTGCTGTCATCCTGATACATTGTGAAAAAACATGTTTGTTTTTCCTGGCTCACAATAATTTAGCAGTAGTTTTATGTTAAAAGAATATTACCGCAGTTTGGGACCTTCATATCCAGCAAGGCTGTCTTCTTGTTGTTGTCATCTATGCAATATAAATCCTGAGTTTCTGTGTAGAACTTGGTCTCTTGAAATTTCTTGATCCACATGATTTCACAGGAACACTTGAATGGATTGTCCACCAATATCCTATAACAAAAAAATACTAATTTATTTAGAAGGCAAAATGTGTTATGCATATAGAAAAAAAATGAGTGGTACAGGAACTACAGGTATTCAGCTGGGTGAAAGTAGAAGTTGAATCCTTCATTTAAGACGGTTAAGGTATGCAAGTTGAACTCTCTAGTTAAGAATCATAAGGCATGCAACCTTGGTAAACAGCCCAGTGCAAGCTGCAAGTCAGTAACAGATTCCATGTGGGGAATTAAGCTGTGCATGCACCAGGAACCCAAACTCTCGCAGGTAGGAGAAATCACACAGGGAATTTGCCTACTATTTCCAATTCACCAGGGTAAATCAGGAGCACCTGGAGAACTGGCATTTCTATGAAGGTCCATTTTTTTCATAGGCAGATATCAGAATTCCTCTTTTCTACACTCGAGTCTCTGAACCCAAGTTCAGTTACTTCAAATATGGTTTATTGATGTGAGATTGTAAATTCTTTATAGAGTCTTGGACTCTTGGATTATATACAAGCACTAACAAAGTGTAATCATAAAAAATTATTTTACCTAATGTTCTACTACCCAATGTACTACAAAACTTTCAGAAAATCTCATAGTAAAACCTTAGGTAATGTCACGAAGAAATACTAACTGAAAAGACGGCCCTGAAACAGAAATGGATAGGGTACACTGCACAGAATTTAATGGTTAGCAAACTTAGCAAATTCTAGTTTTAAAATTTAATAAAACTACACAACAATGTGATGCAGTAATGCACAAGTTAAATAGAAAAAGAAATATCCCAATGTCTACATAAACAGTGACCCAGTGTCATTTTTTTTTTCTACAGGCATACATGAGATTCAGTAAGGTGGGTGAACAAGTGACTATTTAAGGCATTTCATTACAAGGAGAACTTTTTCTTAACGAAGATTCATGGGTATTTTCAATGTACAGAAGCTCAAGTTCCTCAAAGAATCTATGCTCATAAAAGCTTCCTAAGGACATGAAGTGTGCAAATCATGAAAAAATCAGCTTATCATAGAGCCATAACGTTTTCCCCCAAAAGTCATCTCAAATTCTTTGAAGATTACCAAATGCAGGGCTCATCATCTAAAGTCTCTGAAGGAGCAACTTATAATCACAGAAGTCATCTGCTAGACCTAACACCACAACAGCATGGACAAAAATGGTGCAAATCATACTGTGCAAGACACAGTATGAACGTGAAGATTCCTTGGGTCAAAGCCTACAACATGCATTTTCACAACTGCAAGATTTACTTCCATCTTCTGTTTCATACTACAGCTTCCCTGTAAAAGAGGAATTTCTCTTGACCAATGGCTGAGCTTTTTCTTCCACTCCTTTATTTTGTGCTAAATGCACCAAGGGAGGTAGGCACATTGATGCTGGGGACATAATGGCCCTCTACAGACACTTGTGTGAAAGAAAGAATCTGATGTAGCAAAAGCAAATTATGAGTCTTTATCTTTTTTGCTGTAAATTTACAGCTGCAGTTTGTTTGCTCCAAAAGAAGCCTTTCAAAGTGATACCTCCATCTTATAATACCTGGTGAATAGCCTCTACTACAGCCTATCCTAAACTTACCATCCCTTTACATTTTGATTTACAAGAGTACTAACAGTACAAACATACTTGTCAGATTTTGAGAAAGTTCCTCAAAGAAGGAAGAAGCTATTTATGGCAACATTCTTATCTCAGATGCATCTACCCACACTCTTCTTTCTCCCCTTTCTTATCTTCCACCTATGTATTAACTACTTATCAACAGAATTGTTCAACTATACTGATTTTATCACTGCTAGTCTTCCCTCAGGTTCTGCTTTTATCCCTCCCCTTTCTTTATGTCTGTTTATCTCACTTCATCACAATGTCTGTTTGCATAGCTTCAGTTAATCTACTCCTACACTCCCCAAGCCCACAACACACTACCTCAGCTTTGTATGCCCTTTCTCTTTCAACTTGTACTTCATCACACATTGACTCCATACCTCAAACACTATTCTGTTTAACCTTCTTATTATCTGTTTTTCCCATGACTGGCTCACTCCCAGCACCCTTCCCCTGCTTCTTCATACAGAACCAACAGACCAACACAGGGCATGGAGCAATGGGAGTGCTCTGCAACCAGCTGGTCTTTCCATCAGAGTGCTCAGTAACTGCCAAGTTATGAAAGAAAATTCCAGTGAGCGATGTTCCCTGGGCTGTAAAGAAAATAATTATATCAACTTAAATTGTCAGCAAAACATACCTAAAGGAACAACCTCTTTTTGTGGCACCAATATTTGCTCATTTCACTTCTCACATGCTGAAGTTCACCAGAAAAGAGCAAGGATTCCATGTCTGCTGTTGCACTTTTGGACAACTGACTCTGCTCTGAGCTCCTGGAGAGCAGTCTCCCTTTCCAGTGCAGGCCCAGCCCTCCCAAAGCTTCTGCAGTCTGTCTGCATATTAGCAGAGAATGCAGATGACCAACATTTTGGAATGCATACCAACAAAAAAAATCCAGTTGATGTAACAGAGGATAAAAATGTTAACACTGAAACCATCAATAAATATATGTTTACTAGTGCTTTCATTACTAAACTATTATATAAAGCACAGTGCAACTCAAAGAACTTGAGAAAATAAAAATATTCTTCAACAGACAACCATAAGCATAGTAGCTGTGGAGCCTATGTAAGAATGAGAGAGAATCTTCATTTGAAAATCCACGGAAGACTGTATTTTCACTAGCTCAAATATTTAATATAAACACCAGCAGTTTTGTGTGAGGTACCTTCATGATAAAACATCTTAAAGCTGAAGGGAAGAGGCTATTTTAACCTCTAATTGATTTAAAATATATACCTGACCTTCTTGAAGCTCTGCAATGAAAATATCTCTGTATTTAAGTGTCCAGCATCAATGCTTTCTTTGGATCAAAATTTCACCCTACTCCTTGATGGACATCTACCTTCAACAGAAAAAGCTTCAAAGTCTTGTTCTTCCATTCCAGCCAAAAATAAACTACATTTTAAAAACTGACAACTTACAGATCAGACAAACCCAGATGGCGAAAAGGCTTCTTGGACAAACTTGAGAGGTTGTTTCTGGATAAATTGCTATGGGAAAAGAGAAAGATTACATTAATTAGAATTGTTTCTTCTTACATGAAAATACAGTTTGTGTCTCTCAAAAAAATAATTAATAACTCAAATTAGCTCTAAAAGTCCTTTGACTTCAGTTATAAAAAGACAGTGTTCAGTATTACTTCATGGTTTAAAGGGTTTCAAGGGTTTGAATCCAGAATGCATCTGAAGTCAAATACATTCAAAATCAAACTCAACAGGGATCAATATTTTCACTTTTAGCACTTTGTTAATTGCAGAAAAGCAGCAGATTTAACTGTGTTTCAAAAGTATTTTGTAAAGTCCAGGTGTTAATTACATGCTCAATATATTCATGTGAAATGGGTGTATTCCTTTCTTTGATGCTGCATCAAACTCTGTACTCACATAAGCCCTCCTCAAATACTAGCACACATCCGTATCAGAGCCTTTTAGTTGTTCTTTTCAAATTGCATGTACAATACGCAACCACGTGGAAGATCAAAAGGAAAACTGTAAAATGCATGTATTGGGCTTTTTTATGTCAATTAAGCATTTATGGTTTCCAGTGGTAATTAAGTGAAAGGTCCTCCACTATTATGCAGAGCAAAGAAATGCTGATCTGAACCAGAAATACTCTTCCTCTCACAGGCTTACAAAACTGGTTTCTCTACCCCAAAGCAAAATAATGCTGTTTTTTCTACAGTCTTATCAGTCTACCAATTAAAGATAGCAAGAGCAGTAAACTGTGTAACTGCCAGCAGTAAAGTGCAAATCAGAGTTATGAGCCAAAATACCATGAATTTTATGTGGTATTATAAAGGCGCCATAAAGGCTCCACACTTAAAAGTTTCATTGCATTTAAAACTAGGGATTAATTAAATTTTTTTTAACCTGACTAAAGAACACAGTGTTTACTTCCCAACTTTCAGTCCTTAATCTCAGAGTACAAGATAATTTTCACAGAAATTACAAATTGGATTCTCTACAAATGTTTATAAAAGAATCTTTAAGAGATTATTTTAAGAGATTTACTACATTTCATCATGGATTCCTTCTGGCCAACAACAACCTGAAGTTTACAAACTGACTGGTCCTCATGTGTCAGAACAAAACAAATGAGGTACTATTTCATTAGTCAGATGAACTAGATTGCCTATGGCAGATGCTGGTGGAAATGTCTCATGGACCCTGACTGGATACATCAACATTAGGTAAAATTTGCATATAGATCAGAAGTCATGTTTAAACAAAAACTGTCACTATGGTTTTTTCCCTAATATGTATATGCTCTATGTCGGGAGGTTGAATAAAAGAAGTTTGATCCTTCTGTCAATTTGGGCTTTTGTCTCCCATATGGAGTCACATCAAACATCCTCCCTCCATGGGCAACTCTACACTCATCATGCAAGAGAATCCTTCCAGTTTCAACGCTGACAAGCAGTAAATGCAGATGGCCCTGTGGTATTGCCAAACGAGGTGTACACCTGCATCTCTTACCTGTACAGCAACTACCTTTCCCTGTAGACAACCAGTGGGCTTTACTTGCAGACCACTGTTATGAATTTATCACCCTAAAAAATACTTTGACAGTAATTTATTTTTTTTCCCATAAAGCGAATACTTTATATTGACTACAGAGATGCCTGCTGCAGTCTCTTTAATTCATGTTGGGTGAAAAAATCACTGCCAGGCTTCTTTTGAAGATTTTAAGGACCACACTTCCACTTTCATGAAAAGAGATTTAGTTCCCTAATTTAACTATACCTAAAAAGGTCATGGTGAGCAGCCCAAAGAAGATCCATCTGGGGTTCTAAACACATTTTTAATTATGGGGGAAAAAAAAAGTCAGTGGTACAGAGCCTGGCTCCAAAGCTTTACCCACAGACAGGACTCAAATTCAGTCAAAATCATGCCTGTATTGTACATGCAAATATCAAGCTCACTTCAAAATTGATAGCCCTAACTCAGCTAAAAGCAAACCTGTGGCAATCTGAGGACAGCAAAAGCAGACCAGGAAGCTGCATAAAAATTAAAAGAGTTTGCTACATGGGCATAGTTCTACCACCTACAGAGCTTCTGGCAAGGGGAAGCAAGAAAGAAGGGGAGGAAATAGACCTAAGGAGAACTGGGGAAAGAGGTGAAGGAAGGGCCATTTTGCTACACTCAGTCTCCCTCCACAGGCAACTGCCTGCTCTGCCTATGCGCCAGCCCTGTGTGCAGCAAGGTATATCTCAAATTGTTTCATTTGGCTGTCTTGCCTAAACCTGAACAGAGTAGAGATACAAACTCATCTTAATACCTAGAGCTGTATATATACTACATTCACAAATCTATGATTCAGCAACACAGTTAGATGCAGCCTGGCACGTAACAGCTATTTTTTAAAGTTTTTGGAAATCTGCACTTCCTGTAAAATGTGTTTTAATATTTAAAGGCATTGACAATATACCACACATATGTATTACACATTCCCATTAAATTACTGTTAGCAGCAGATAAGCTTATAAACTACAGCACTACTAAAATGCAACTATTGGCTAATTTGAGTCTAAGGTCAATGAAAACACCAGAATTAGATAAGCAAGGCTATTAATTACACTTAAGTAGTATCCATTAGGGCATTTATTTTCCTGTTGTTTATGTTCTTACTCAAATCTTCCCATCATACATAACGCTAGAAAGATATTTGGGTTACATAAGTTTCACCAAGAAAATAACGTAAGGACCAAAAAGGGTTTAAGGAAATGTGTGTTAATCAGTTTATTTTAAACTGATATTCTTGCATGAATCATAAAACACATACCACTTTCATATAATAAGAGTCCTTTAACTACATTAAAAGCTTTTTCATAGAACAAAAAGAAAGCTGTAATAGTATCACAGTAAAATTAAAGCTTATACAGTTACATCAGTCTTCAGAAAAGTGTTTGGAGCTCTCATTTTCTTTATGGGATAGTAACAAATGTTTGAAAATAAAATGTAAGACTTCTCAAAGACTTGTACTCAGAATTTACTCTTGAAAAGCGAAACTACTTCAGCTCTTAATAGTTTTCACTGTCCCAAACGTAAACAGGAGCTATACATCACTCCCAGTGCAGTCAAAAGGATTTTTATTGCTGATGACAACAAACAGTGATTCACTGGGGGTTTCAGAAACATTTTGGTGTGCATAAAGACCTGACAGAGAAAACAAACAAATGCATTTTGCAGGGATAACGGATGAGCCTCAGTAAAAAATACCTCCATACTTACTGCTTTGTTCTGTGCATCTAGAGCAGCTGGTGCCACTTAATATTTTCCATCTTATCTGGGCTTATCCTGTGTCTGCTAACATTACTAAATCCCCCCCAAAAGAAAACACAGTACAATACTGGATAAGTTCATGGTTCCTAACGTAAGTATTCTGGATCAAACATCCCTGTACATCAACTGAACAGACGTCAAGTCGGTCTGAATTGTTTGTAACAAGGAGCTTCATGAACTTCAGCTCTAGCAAAGCCTCCTTACCAATAGATATGCATTACCCCTTTGACTTCATGCTCCATTTGAAGCTCTTCCTATGGCTGAAATATTTTAAAAGCATCTCATCCAAGTGGGTTCTGTAAAGCCTAGCAGGTCATATAAACACAATGATACTTTAAGTAGCAACTTTAATAGGGTTCCCCTGTTCTTCTTAATGGTCAGATTTCTGAAAATGTGTTTACCTGTGCAAGTTTTGGTTAGAAGGAACCACTGGGGCCAGAGACAGTTTATGACTGCATGAAACCCATTTCCTTAAAGCAACAGGTAAAAAAAGCCTCTCAAGAGGATCCCATCAATTTTCTCACCTTCTACAGTGTCTACTTGCCCAGACAGCTGGGAAGGTGTTCCAAATATCTGTCTACCTTGCTCCAAACTAAATTCATAATTTCTCACTCTGCACTCATGGTCATGGAGAGAACTGATTGATTTCATCATCATCATTACTCTTCTTTTAAAGAAAAGATGATCATAGAAGCCATAGAATCATAGAATAGTTTGGGTTGAAAGAGACCTTTAAAAGTCATGTACTCCAATCCCACAGCAACAAGCAGGGACATCATCAACTAGACCAGACTGTTCACAGTCCTATCCAACCTGACCTTGAATGTTTCCAAGACTGAGGCATCCACCACCTCTATGGGCAACCTGTGTCAGTGTTTCACCACTATCCTCCTTGTAAAAAACTTCTTCCTTATACCTAATCTAAACCAACCCTCTTTCAGTTTCAAAACATTATTCCTTGTCCTATTGCCATGACGTTCCTTTTCAGTCTACTCTTTATTTCACTCAGACTCTAAGTCTCCTTACATTATTTGCCTTACAAGCTCCTTATAGCTCTATTGCTCTTCTCTGTAGTATCTTGCAAGATGAGTAGATTCAGTGTCCTAATCTATATACAATATTCAGACAGATTCCTTCCCAGCCACTAAGGTAATGGGAAAAAGAGGTAAAAATGTAACACAAAATTCCTTTTGATTCCAGACTTGGATTCGCTTTGTTCTCTCCCTGAGATTCTGTTCCCAGCAGAGTCACTAAGTCTTCCTCTGCAAATGTGCCTCTTAGACAGTACGTTCTTATTGTGTATTTCCATTGGTATTGCATATTTCCACAGCCACCGCAAATGGAATTTCATATTTTATAACCATAATTCACTGAGCAATTTTTACACAGGTAAACACACAAATTTACTATAGAAGATTATTCCCTTATGGTACAAGTGATTACTGTAAAAGTTCTTTACTTTATTAATGACTATCTGAAGTAATATTTAAATCTCACAGGCTCACAAGATCTGCTCCACCCTCCTCCAGTGACTGTTCCATGTTAAGGACAGCACTTAATGTTTAGGTAGAAATGAACATTCATGTCCACTTCCCTACATGAATTAATTGCTATTTTTTTGAAAACACTGGTCAGAAAGTGATTCCATCTCATAAGCAAAACAATCAATCCTGTTCTCTGTGTAACAGTTCTTCCCGATTACAACAAAGTATCTTACAAACCCAAGGTTTGGCAAAATGTCTTCCCAATCTCATTAGGATAAAAGCACAAAAGTCATATTAAAAAGAGAACTTCGATCAGTTCAGCCTTTGCTACATCTAAAGCATAAGAAATCTAGAAAAACAAAGTCAAAAAGCTGCACAGGCATCAATTCTGCTTCCTGAAGTTCATGAACTACAAATTGCATTTGGGTGTGAAAGCAACATCATTTCTGCGTTCTGCTTTGGGTGTATTAGTTTAGTGAGTGAGCTTTCAAAGTAAATCTTCTGGTCACTCCTAGGACTTCAGTTCACAGTCATGTCACAATCTCTGGGCATGTGTATTGGTCAAATTATAGTAGATGTGCTTCATGTATGCACTTACTGCACTGCAGCTGCTCTTGGAAATGGTTGCAGGGTCAGGAGTTGGACTCAGTGATCCTTGTGGGTCTCCTCCAACTTGCCATATACTATGATTTTGTGAAAACATGTTCTGCCCATCAAATCACACTAGAGCTACTCAAATCCATGTCACTGAGTGTGATGCACAGTGGGGACATCATATGCTCAAGAGAGGCATTCTTTGTGCTACACTGCTTACCACAAAAGACGCAGCCAAAGTCCGCAGGATAATGAAATGCATGGTCTATTTACCATTCCACATTGTGTTCTTATGATCTGCCAGTTCTTACCATATATACCTTATTTAAAGTCGATTAATGATAGAAGAGCATTTTAAATCTGACTTGTTAAAGTATTTTTTTATTAAGGAAATGGTAAGAGACAGAAATAAACTAACAATAAATAAGTTAACATGAGTTACACAGTTCTGACTTAGAAGACAGACACTATTTTTACTCACATGTATTGTAGGTTCACATTTTTCACAAATGCCTGACGGGACACAAATCTTAAGCCTGAATCCACCACAGTCCTGGGAAAATAAATAAAACTGTTGAATTATTTATGTTTCATTTAAAATATAATGGAAAGCATAATGATAATAGTGGTTAACATAAGAGTTTGGGTGAAATTTCAGTAAGGCTCGACTGCAAGATTTACAGTTTTCCTCAGTAACACAAGAAGTGAGGCCTACGCTTTGATAAGGTTTCCATATGCTTCTATGAAAGAAATGGGAAAAAAAAGATAGCCTTAAAAGAGAAGTATCCCATACTCACAGATTTTTAAGTCCAACATAGTATCCAACCTCATTGTCATTGATACTTTCTAATTTTTGTTGGTTTGCGATGTAACTGTTGAAAAAGCAAGACAGAAAAAAGTATTTAAGTGGATCCTTCCAGGGCTTTAACTGTTCAGAGATCATGCACTGATGTATGAAAGTCAGTAGTGATTGCTGACCTACTGCAATTAGAAGTAAGTTCTACTCAGATCATATGCAAAACAAAAGTGGTCCTTAAAATCTTCCCCATCATTTAAATGGTACTTTATGGGGCAGTGCTGGAAGGGAAAAGTTTAGTTTTACACAGGGGAAATGAAGAAAGCAAGTCAACCTGAAAGCCAAATAAGGCTGTGTTACAGTGTCACTGTTCTCCAAGACACGCCCCTTTTAACAACAGCGAAGGGGCCAGCTTCACTTATATTGAGGGAGGATCAAACTGCCCTAGTCTTTTCTCTCATATTGTTAACTTAATCATTTGCTAACTTATTTTCTCCCTGACACAAAGTAATTTCAGTTCTTTTTACAAAGTGTGGTAAAACTGAGGGGAAAACTGAGGAAAGAGAGGCTGTACTTCATGATGTTACACAGAGAAGCAGAAAATAAGAGAAGACAAACTGACGTATTAGACCAAAGCACTAAGTCCACTCATATACCATTAGTATCTATCTGTCTGAACACCAAAAGGATGTGAGTATGCACGCCAGTCCTTTGTATTATCACCATGAGAGATCTATGAATAACCACGGACATCCCACAGACTGGAAACTAAATTGTTCACAAATAATGTATTTTTACCTCTTCTGCATCAAGAAGGAATTTCACAGTGCAAATCATGCAGTCTAGGAAGAAGAAATCGGTGGAAACTGCAATTCTTCTGACATAATGGACAGAAAAGTATGCCTGATTTATAGGATTCCTTGATAAAGACTCCACATATTTCAAAAGATAAGCCTAGTTCCAGAAAAACTAAAACAGAGATTGACTTGCATTTTCACGAGCATCCTGAATTAACAGAAAATGCAAGTTCTCCTAAAAAAGGAGGAGTTGTTCTTTGTTAGGAGAAACCTTTTATTATTCTAAGTACTTTTAAAAATTTATTTAAAGGGAAATCTGGTGAACTAGAAAGAAGGTGTATTGCTTTCCCAAAGGAAATCCATGAACCTTAGCTGGTATGTTAGAGAACTTCACTGTCTTCCCAAATCCCAACAGAGGCTTCAGAATCCCAAAGTCGGGTTGGGCTCTTCTCCAAAGCCGCAAGGCTGACTTGGGCTTTGCTTTTGCCGTGCACCAGGAAAAGCAAAAGGTTTCCTCTAATGGCATTCATTGTCCCTTGGGAAAAAGAAGGGTAGTAAAAAGACAACACTAGACGGAACACATTACTACAGCATCATATGACACTGCCTGTTCTTCAGTACTTTACAAGATAAGATTAACACAGCGTACCCATTAGAAGATGAGAGTCCCCCATATTTTGTGTTGCCTTTTTTGAATTTTTAAGATGAGCTGATTTACTATCTTGGCATTTACTAATCTATTTCATTGGTTTGTTGTTTGGTGCGTAAGTTCACATATTTTGCCAAATAAAAACAATAAAATCATACATAAAAATCCAACAATTCTTTCATCTGAAAATCCTGCAAGTGAATGATCATACTTCCTCTAAACATGCCCTGAAGAATTCATTACTTAATTATGTATGATCTTCTCTGTCACTTGGACCTCATAATGTTAAAATAAAGTTATGCAAGCGGTATCAAAGACACCTTCCTCATCTTGTCCTCAGTATTCAACCAACAGGAATCCTGTCAAGACCAGATAGGGATAGGGAAATCACAAAAGAGTGGTAATATAGGAAAACGGACAGTGAAACACAGAGGGAGAAGAGACTCAGACTTAAAGAAAATAAACAAAGCAACCAGTTGTACTAGCTAAAGACTAAACCATCAAAAAAAAATCTCAGGCAAACACTACCAAAATGTAGACCCATCACTTAAACACACATATCACCCATCCAAATCCGACATTGCAATTTTAACCGTACAAATATTTAACCAGAAACACCCACTAAAAGAAGCTGCAGAACTTGACATAACTTACAATTGACTGTTGCACAGAAACATGTTAGTGTATTACATCCTATATTAAGGCTCAGTGTAAAACAGCTCCGCTCTGCTGAAGCCAATGAAACTACCACAATTTACACTGGACAAACATCTGAGTATGAGCACACAAAAAAAACAGTGTTGGTCCATTGGGAAGTAGACCAAAAGGACAATACATGGGAAGAAGAAGGGGCATGAATTTGTGGTAGCTTTTTTCCTTCTCTTATTGCATCCCCTAAAAGAAATACGAGCAGATTCTCTAAGATGAATGATTTACAATTCTGTTTCCTAACTGAGAGAAACAAAAGAAACCACTGATTTTCCACAACCATACTTAGAGTAGGGACACAGAAGAATTTTTGTTTAAGTGCAACTAACTCAATAACTGCTTTACAGCACACTTGTAAAAACAATCTCAGTACAGAACACGACAGTAAAGCAAATTTCATGCAGTTGGAAATCCTGGAAGAAAGAGTGGACAGATGTAATTTACCACAAGCAGGTCATGTCCCCTTATGCTTCCTTACTCGCTTAACAAGTTTGCTTTAAGTTAAGCCTCTTTTAGCTATGTCATAGCACTGAGAAAGAAAGGAGTAGAATGATGTAGCTGTACACTGTAATGGGAAGTTGTTCTTCTGTTTAATTTAGAGGGAGATCTGAAATAAAACCTCTCCCTATCTGAAGTCTATTTTTACCTTCTTCACAACTACTCTACCTTAATGTTACTTATCATCAAACATTAATACTCTAAGAGCTTTGACTTGCAGTGGGCGATGCCAAGAAATGTAATTTGCCTGCCTGCCCTTAAGAATATCCGCCCTGTTCTTTAAATGAAGATTTTTATTGTAGCACAGAAGAAAAACATACTGACTCACAGCTGGCTGAAGTCACATGGAGAGCTTGGAAGCTCCCACTGCACACCACAGCAGAGTGTAGCACCGCCAAAACCTGGCTGGATAGTACCCAAACAGATCACACATATCAGATCACAAATACTGACTGCTGTCTCTAAACCAAACCCGCAGCTGCCTACAATACTATTTGCTTGATTATACTATAGCATTCTGCCTCTCCTTCAATGAGTAATCAGTAAACAATAGTTGTTTTCAGACCTTTAATTTAATCTCCCCACTGTAAACTACTGATTAATTCTAATAAAGGCATTCAGAATCACACACCTACTGACTGCATGTTGCAACCTACAATAACACATTTATCTCAGCACACTTCAGCAGTTACTGAATAATGTCACACATTCACATTTCACCACTGCTACAACATTCTAGAAATGATAGTTTAAAATCCTATTGTAAAAGACCTAACTCCCTCAAGTAAGATCTCCTTTAAGAGAGCTGTCATCACTTCTGCTCATTACACAAGTGAAACATCAGTATGACATCAGTGAAGCAGCCTCTGAACTGCAAAAGCACGAAGAGAAGCAGGTTCTGATCTTTAAAGCGGTCTAGATTATTTTGTTCCTCACTAAGTACAAAAAAGATTTCATTACAAGTTTCAAACCTTTTCCTTAACCTGAAATAAACTGGCCAGCAGAGGTATACTTTCCCAACTAACTCTGTTTCCTCCAGCTTAATGTATGTTAAGTCATATTACTCCATTTGGAGCTATGCTAAAAAAAAACTAGTACACACTAGTCTTAAGAATATAGATGCAAACAAGTAATACTGTAATGCAGTTCCAAAAGTACTTCCTTCCATTGCCAGAAAACTCCCTTTATGGGAAACATATTTTCTCAACACTCCAAAAAATAAATCAATTATATGTCTAGCTCTGGTTCATACAGCTGGGAAAAAAAGTTTTTTAAAACTTTCACATTCACTGGTGAAATGTTTCTGAACTTTGGGAAAACTTCATACTCTGAGTTGTTTTTTCACTAAGTCTTCAGGGTAAAAACGCAGCATACTTCAGATATTGAACCGTTACCAGATGAATTACCATTTAATGACAGGTCACGTATGTCCCCAGCCTACACTACTGTGAGAGCTCTGTGTTAACACTGACAATTAAACACTGCAAAGTTCCTTAGTGATGTATCTTCTTATAAACTACAACTGTCATGCCAAGTTCATCAAAAGGTAAGCTAAAACTTAGGGCCATTTTCAACAAACCTGCTCTACTTTATGGTTATGCATTAAGATCACACAGAATCTGTAAGCTTGACACAACACTTGATGAAACTTGGCATAGTCAAATAGATTTCAACTGCAGCCTCTCTGAAACCAAATTTAAAGTAATGCTCAAGTAGTGCATATCAGGAATGTGAGGTTTCAGACAGATGTAGGCACCAATGGTATAATCTCTGCTCAAACAAGAAATCATTCTACACAGGACCAAGCTCTGTCTAGGAAGAAAACTCTTAACAGCAAGCAATGAGCAACAACAACAACAAGTCCTCTACAGATATACAGGCTTGCTCCAATCATTTTATTGTATTTTGCTTTATCTATCTGGTACCATAAGTGTCAGCTTTCATGAAGACAACCTCAAGAAACAGAACTTCTACTGCTAAAAGAGCATGCCGTAACAGAAAAGAGGCAGAGTGCCAAGTTAGTCCATGGTGGACTTACTTATCATTCAGCAATTTTACAAACAGGTGCTCAACTCCTTCCTTGGCTGCCTGGTGTCTCCTGACAAATTCTGAGCAAGTGCTCCAGTGGTTGTTGGGTTTTTTTAAACTGTGAATCATTGTATTTCATGAAGAGTGAAAAACTGGTTGCCACTATCACGGGTTCCTTAAGGGTTCTTTCCTCCCATTTAGAGTATTTAACCATGAGTCACAGAAGATTACAGGAGTTAGCTTTCCATGTGCCAGTACAACAGCTCTGGAGGCGATATAATTAACCCTGGGATCTTTCTTTACAGACCCAGGCATGCCCATTTTTTGAGTAAATCCGGCACTACACACAGACCACACTCAAGTAACGAGTTGTTCAGAACAATCTGGGACTCGACA